AGTGGATTAGTTGGACGAAACCCCTTGTCCAGGGGTGGACACACACACAACGGAACCCAGGAACTGCGAAAATCAACATCTCCTGATATCCGCAAAAGCGGAAGAAACACATGGCGGAACATCAACAAATTGTCATAGGCAGAAGTGTGGCAAATATCAAAGCCCTAAAGCTCGGGAAGGGCAAAGTTGCCAATGCAATGCCTACACTCTTAGTCTTCTAGTCAATGTACTTTGTACTTCTATCATGACAGCAGCTACATGGAAAATACTTGTTCAAACAAACAAATACCACCTCATGAGTGAATCGGGATGGAACTGGAAGGGTATATGGGGCAAGCATACGGGGCAAGCATATGTGGTTTAGTTCGAAATACATCAAGGTACAACACTGTCATATTCAAGAACTGGCTACATGAACAGCCAGTGGGTTTTTGTCCACTCTTCTGTTCATGACCTTGGTTCCGGATGCTCACTGCATGCGGGTTGACCTGGTCCATGGAATTTCCTTCCAAGATGTCAACCCATTGATGGTGTTGGGGTACTGTACATAATGGTGCAATCTTGAACAAAACAAACAATGTGATGCCTGGAACCTTTACTAAGACTAAGCTCATCTCTAAGATCTAGATCGGCGCTCGATCTAAGATCTCAACGATTCCTCTGCTCCCGAAGCTCTACCGGCCATGTGCAGGTCACCCAGCGCGGACACCAGCCGACCATGCCGCCACACTCGCCGAATGCACCGGGCGTCAAGGTCTTCAGCATGGGCTCTGTGAGCACCGCGCCGCCCCGGGGCTCCTGGAGCGTCGCCGGCGCGTAACGGGCGTTCAGATGCCATGCTTGGAACGCTTGGGTGCACGGAAACCACCACGACCAGGGGTTGGAACTACATGGAACTACCAGGGCTTGTGGAAGGAGTTTGGGAGAACATCAGAAGCTCTGGGCCCTGCGCATGAACACAATAGGCCTGGTGGCGTAGGGTGAAAAACATGAACTGGTTCAGAGTATATGTGTTTGTGAAAATCCCATATTCTCCACGGTGTGGCAAACATGAGAGTAAATATGTTCAGGCTCTCCTTCCAAGAATAATGTCGAGTCATATTTCAATCACAATATTGATATTAATTTGAGTAACTATAATCCGGGACGCAGAGATTCCAGAAACTCCCGAATATTCAGAATTGCCATATTCTATTTGAAACTGCTTCTGGTGCGCGCGAAAAAAATAGAAGAACAGGGCTTCCCCGGAGCATAAAGGAGGTGTTATATCATGTTATATAGCTACTTTTGCAAAAACCACTAAATAGCCTAATATCTAATATCTTCTATTTGAAATCTGTCCGGTGAGGTACATCTTCTGTTTGAAATGCTTGTTTTGGATCTTCTATTTGATTTCATGTTTGGTCCACGCAGATTGTTTCCTTCCTCGCCGGTCCGTTGTTTCTTCACTGCAAATGGCATCTCTGGGTAATATGCAAGCATTGATGAATAGATCTAATAGATAGATATATAGATAGATACATATTCACAACAAAACAGCAAGAATATCCAGAAACATGACCTATTTGGGAAAGTCCCTTTCACGAGGCCCCAATGGGACTGATCTTAGGGATAATTATTGGAATGTCTGATCTTCTTAACTTTGAGGGAGAAACCCTGGTGAGAGCAAAGCTCTGAAGATGGACTCATGGGGTAGGAAAAGGCTGCTTTGCACTCAGTTTCAAATAGAAGATATTACCAGATTATTTTGTAACACAAAAATAATCACATATGATACATTTCTTCTATTTGATGTGCTTGGTTGCTTTGGCAATATCTTCTATTTGACCTTCACTTGTTGTTCTGCTGTCTTGTGGATCTGACCTTCAGAAAAAGATTAAACACTAAAAAACAAGGTTGTTTTACCGTTTTGTACCGGGATTCTGGACATCTTGGGTTGTGCACTAGGTCCTCTGATTTTTGGGTTTAACTTGCACCGTCTGTCCCGGCTAAATTTTGGACAAGATCATCCAAAACTTCAAGACTTCACTGTAAATACCATGAAATCCTGCTTCTCTGGCAAAATCGTTCAAATAGAAGATATTGGAGTTCAAAGTGCCCAAACAGCATCAAAAAAGCATCAACAAAGCACCTCTTGCACAAGGGATTTGCTTCTATTTAAAGCCTTGCTTGGAAACCACCAAAATTGCACCTTCCATTTGAAATATTCAAAACATTTCTTCTATCTCTGCGTCCCGGATTATACAAGTATCTCTTATTTTCAAAATGTAGGAACCTCGTTGGTGGGCTTAAACTCACAAATTAATAGTCAGTGGTTTCAATCACGCCAAGATATTTACATGCCAGTGGTTGAACCTTTACTTGGCAGATATTGTTATAGTCAGTGGTGAACATGTAGGAACCTGGTTGTAAAGGTTGAAAGTAACAATATCTGAAACCACCACCCAGGATCATTGCTTGCCCAACAGATTGGTGAGTCTGATGCATGTCGAATCTCACTGTCGAATCCAACTGGGCAGGGCAGAGGGCAGTCACAGCCTTACAATGTGGTAGAGCAAAACGGGGGAGTGGTTCTTGGTGACGCAAATCCATGCACTTCGCTGAAACCGACATCGTCGGGCATCGTCCTTGGCCGCGGTGGCGAGCAACCACTGCTGAAAGACGTCCTTACCTGTGGCCGTCGTCTGGGGGCATCTCGATAGAACCCATCAAAGTTCATTGAGTTCGATCGAGGCCGGCGTTTGCCTAGCTTGGAAGTCTAGAGTCTAGTCTTTAAACGGTGGCATTTGGCAAAGTCGCCTGGAAACAGTTGTTTTAGTATCTATATTCATGTTTTGAATAGACTGAATAGATCCTTAAAAATCTATTCTGAATAGATCTAATTCATGTTTTTTTGAACTCAGTCTTCAGCAAAAACGGTTCGACCACAGGCCATGCAGTTATTGATACTACAAATCGATACCTTCAGATTAGTGGATGAGGAGTTGGAAACACTCCTTGGCATGAACTCTGCTTGGTGTGCACGTGTTTAAAACACAACAAACATCACAATAGCAACGGATCACGTGTAACTCGTCTTTCTCCCACGTAGCGCGCGAGAATTGCGTAAATCGACGGATCCGTCTTCGCCTGGATCTTCCCTGCGCTTCCACCTGGCAGAGGCGATCTTTGATCGAAGCAAACTCGCCCAAGCCCTAAAATCTACCATTCTCGGAACTAGTGATGTTCTTGTTTACTGACTGCTGCAGGTCATGGGATACCTGTAGCCTGTATACCAAAGAACCACATCCCCGAACAGGTGGAAACATGTTGGATGTTCTTCACCCATCGATCTGTGTGCGGTTACCCAAGTCAGATCGCAGCAGCAGCAGTAGCAGCAGTAATTAGCGGTAGCCACAGTAAACACCTTTCCCATTGCAAGGATCCTTTGTACTTTGCATCATGGATTGCCGCGAATGCCATGCCTAGATGGCATCTCATGGAACAGGACACCCAAATATTCAGACTTATTGGATGAAGTCCTTTGCCCAGAACGAATCAAGCAATTGCCCAGAACCTACTATATCCACCACTACCGGGTTACCAGGCTAAAAGGGGTCATGTCATGGCTGGACCCTCAAAGGTCGGGTCGTTCACGCTGCTTCGACCTTCGAGTAGGCTGCTGAACCGTCGACCCAGCGAACAGTCGAAAAGAGGTTCAACATGATACACTGGAACCATGGAAGTCAGCTAGTGGTTGTATCAGCTGGTGGTTGGTTGGTTGATACTAAAGAGCTTCAACCTGGTTTCATGGAAGTTCACCAGCTCTGATGGCCCTGAGGATTTCATGGTCCGATTTTCAGGGGCATCCACCATGTCCATCGATTCCAGGATCCAGTGGGCCATCCTTTTGGGCGGGGGTCCCTCAATTCCTTGGAGGAGCCCCAGTCAAACCACTTGCTTTCAGCCAAGTCTGCCAGGCACGCCACATCCCTGCAGAGTAGTTGGGCTTCTCGCCTCGGCCCAGGACTTCCAGGGGAGGTGATCGATTGCCCGACTCAGTCTTGAGTGCATGCGTGCCCAAAGAGACATCCTTCACATCAAACCTTGCAAGAATTATACATAATTAGTAAAACAACAATAAAAATAAAGCGACTATCGTGCAATCACATGTAACATGTAGACTATCCCGGGCTTGATATAGGTGGTTTTAGGCCATGGCCGTGTCCTTTTTGCCATGTGAACGGAGTGGTGGGCGCCCCAGCCCTGCTCCCCAAGACGGCCCCCGAGACGGATGAACAAAGGGTGCTGTTTTTAAGCAAAAACCCTAGGGATCCAAGTACCTTCTCAGACGGTACTTGGACCCTCCAAACCTACATAACAGTGCCTCCGATCACGGTACCTGAGAAGGTACGACTGGATCCCTAGGGAAAGAAAGAAACACATGCAAACGGTGGATCATGGTGGATCCCTTCACCAGAGGTTGAAGAACTCGACTTCGACTATGGCGTTTTCCGGGGTCCGCATGTCTCGCATGTCTCGGGTCTCACGCGCGATCCGTGATGGGACTGAAAAACCCCACGTCGACTGGACCGACGGGGTCGGACCGGTGTCTGCACTGGACCGGACCCTGGGGAATCTCCGGCGTCTGCACTTATCATTGGATTCGTCCTGGTACTGCTGGGATTCAACGGCCGTGGACAACGTTAGCCAGATCTGATGTCTTTGTTTATGGAAACTGGATCCACTTGCTTGGAGTGACAGGGACGATGGACAAATACAATGGTTCACCCATTTTTGGGGAGAAGCGGGCTTGGTGAAGATGAATCCCATCAACAAACGGACCGATGTCGTATTTTCGGCACCCCACCACGGCTCGGCATGAAAGATCACAGAACTGAACATGCACCTTCGAAAGGAGGAGATCCCAGGCAACCACGTTTCGGACTTTCTCCCGCAAATTCGGTCAGTCTACAGTTAATTATATAATTGACTTGGGTCTAAAAACTGGAATCACTGCAGTGCCTACGAACTACTAGTAGTGGCTTGCCTGGACCCACTTGGGTTAACCTTTGAGGGTCCGTGATTCTTACGCTTGGATTTGGGACTACAATGCTGTTCCATGGCAGGGTTCAGTGATCGGGAAAACAAGCTATAGGGTCGGGTAGGGCCCTATACATCCCATTTTCGGACTTGGCCGCGGCCCAGTGGAGGATGGTCAGCGGGGATGGGTCGACATCTCGAAAAAAACATCTTAAATGACCTCAATGGGCCACACCCTGGACTTGGCTCACCTTCGAAGAACCAAATCGACCGGATCCACCCGCGCCTCGAGCGTGACGGCCTCTCCGCCGGCTGCCTCGGGACCGGGACGTTCGGTGCGGGGGTCCCCGGGGCGGGGGCTGAGAAGATTCACGTTCTGGATTGGACTTGCTCAAAACCACACTGTTAAATTCCTAAAGTCGTTGAATGATCCACTCACACAAAACGACTACGGTAAACAATTACTAATAGAGTGATCCCCACCATGACAGTTCAATCATTTGTTTTCATGTCCCGGTGAGGAGCATGTTGCCATGGTCGTGAGTTTTGTGGTTCTCGATTTTGCTTGTGGGTCCTCGGGTTTGGGATTGTTATTTTGTGTCAGGGAGTTCGCGTCAGGCTGTCGCCAGGGTCTCCAGTTGGCATAAGTGCTACCCTGTGACTCGTGACCACCTGCCGCGCAAAATGTTGTTGTACTTGTGTGTTTTGTTGTTGTGTCTTTGTGGTTGTGTGTTGAGTGTTGTGGTTGTGTGTTGTGGTTGCACATTGTGATTGTGTGCTGTTGTTGTGTGTCTGTGGCTGTGCGTTGTGGTTGTGTGTTGTGGTCGCGTGATGTGGTTGTGTGTGTTTGTGAGTGTGTTTGGTCATTGTTTGTGAAGTCTTTTTTTTGGTTGTTGTGTTGTTGTGTTTGTGTTTTTTTTTGTTTGTCGTATCTGGCGCTCGCAGTGGAGTTCTGGCACTGCCCACTGACACTTGCAGTTGAGATCCGGAAAGGAGAGGCAAGGAGAGCTCTGATAAAATCTAACAACCCTCACCTGGCAGGTGGGGAACAACAACAGATGAAATGAAACCAACGGAACAGAAGTTCAGCGTGACCGTCACCACCGCTGACGAGGGACCGCTACCAGCGGCTTGAGCGGCAACATTGCAGAACTTTTGCAAGCTTGAGGCGTTGTCACTGATGGAACTGAATACCAGGTCTCCAAAAAAAGGCTCGAATCCTTTGGGCGACATTGGCCGCTGTCGACAGGCCACCCAAAGGTTCGATCATGTTCGATACCATGTAGCCACATGCCGATCCATTTTCCATGAATTCGAGAAGGCCACCCGCCCATCTGAGCAAACATTGGCTCATCGCAGCTGAGAAAGTGTTCCTTCACAAATTGACTGGTAGGGTTCTAAACGGGCACAGAGACGTGCTGTTGTTCCGGCCTTTCAACGACAAGTGAAGCTGCCACAACGGACTCCGGGCTTTGGGGGAGAGGTTGACCTTATATAAGTAGAATCAATTTCACGCCTCAATCGCCAGCCTCGCATCCTTCTGGTTCCTCTCTTATTTTGGTGCGTCCTTCTGCTGTTTCCTCTGTCTTTCTTTGCCCTGCTCCTTTCCTTCGCGAGATTGCAGCCGGTCCTGGTAGATCGCGGACCAGAAGATTCCAAGCCTTTTGATTGGTCCTCTTCACGCTGCAGTCGTTAAAGTTGAACCATTCTTTTTGCAGGCGAACCCCGGCGTTTGGTGGCACCACCACCTGAGTCGCAAGTCCGTCGCAGGACTCCGGTTTTTTGTTCCTGGTTTGGTGTTTTCCCTTCCCACGGTGTTTTCCCTTCCCGCACGCACAGGTTCCTCTTTCCCCAAAGGGAGATTTGGGTTAGGTGCTTTCTGTTCCCAGCTCGATGCTGGCTCTTCCGTCACAAGTAGAAGGATTTGGGTTAGGTGTTTTTTGTTCCTAGTTTGGCGGGATGGGTTTTGTTCCTGGGTTGGTGATTTCCCTTCACGATGTTTTCCCTTCCCGCACACACAGGTTTCTTTTTCCTATTAGTAAAATGGGGTTGGGTGTTTTCTGTTCCCGGCTGGGGGCTTGCCGAGTAGGAGGATTTGGGCGAAGAATTTCTGTTGGGTGTTTTCTTCTCCCAGTCTCAGTATTTGGGTTGGGTGTTTTCTGTTCCCACTTGGGTGGGGTGTCTTGTCATTCGAGTCATGTCCGGGCAGAGTCTACGGTGTGTGTGTCCTTCCTGGATTGGTGGCTGCGGTTCCGGGAAGGGGACTTCAGCTTCAGAGAAGGTTTTGGCTTCCGGCGTGCCAGTGTTCCATGTTCCTGTAATGGTGTCTTGTGTTCTGTGGTGTTTTCCGTTCCCATGTGTCGGTGTGTTGCCTTCCGGCAACAGTGGTATCGCTGCCTGAATGTGGGTGTGCATTTTTTCCCGTAGTCGGGCCGGGAAGTTTGAATAGGTGGTATGATTCGAGGGTATGATTCGGGGTATGATTCGGGGTATGATTCGAGGGTATGATTCGCAGCTTTGAAACTGTAATGTTGGACTGGCTAGACTTCCAGTGGGCCTGAGGCAGTAGGCAAGCAGTACGGCATCTGGTGATTGCTGGGCAGACTAGGCAAGGAACTCTTCTACCAAAGACTCCAAACCCCACCAAAGGCACGACCCTTTTGACTGTGGTGGGAACAATCACAAGGTGGGAAACTGTGTACAGGGTGCGTGGTTCGGGTATGAATCGGGCATGGATCGGGTGTGATTCCGTACGGCCACTAAATTCTGCAAAAAAAATTGTTCTCACCAACGGACATCTGCACGGCACAAAGAACAGCCAAAGCTTCACCATGCTTCACCTAAAACCCTGGTTCTTACACGTATGAGGGGTATGATTCGGTGGTATGATTCGAGGTATGATTCGGGGGTATGAATCGCTCAAGTCGAACTTCCAACCATTACATGTCCAACCATTACATCAACACCTACACGCAAAAAATACAAACCCATGTAGGTGTTGGGTTCCTGGAATGGTGCCCTGGGTTCCTGCCGGTGTTTTGTGTTCCCGCTTTGGTGTTGTATGTTCCTTGGCCAGGCGTGGGCTCGAGACAGGAAACGCCAACCAACAACGACGACAACCACAGCCGCAATCACCACAAGCCACACCAACCAAGCAACATGCTGAGGTAATCCGGACTGCGCACTCTCTTTGTTTTTTCTGCGCAGCTAGCACTTGTTTTATTCAGATATTTCTTCTCCTTTCTTCCTCCTCTTTCCGTCCACCGGCTGTCGACGGCCTGTTCCTGTCAGCCTTCCAGGTCCCACCAACAAGTCCAGTGGCTGTGGCTCTTGACCCATCAAAACCCGGGTTCATAGACTCCCAGAACGGTCAAAGGTTTTTAACCCCGCAGACTGTCAGATGTGGGTGTTATAGCGATAGCCTGCTGCAAAGGGCACTATAGGGCACCCCACCATCACCTGCTTCTTTCGAATTGGCCTCTTGACGATGCATTCAACGGCTTCGTGTCTTCTCCTACTGGCGCGCGCCGAAGGCTTGCCAAGGACTGCAAGAGTCGTCTGAGTCGTCCTGCGCGTTAGATGGGATCCATCCCATCCATAGCCATCCCAAGAGAGGTTAAGTGACCTGAACTAGGACCTTACTGGGGTACCTATGGGATAGGCTATATAGGGTCCTTCAACCTTTGTTGGTCCTTCACCTAGCGACACCGACACACACACATCGACCTTGGGAACTCCCAACTTCGCGGATGGAGACGCACCACGTGTGAGAACCCTCACAGCTGGGTATTGGAACTTGTGGCTTTAGAGGGGGAAGCAAACGCGAGAACAATGACACCCCAAAAAAATGCCATTGGAATCAAGGAACATAGACCAAAACCCATTGGACCAGGGGTTCTCTCTCTCTCTCTCTTAAAGTACGCATCCCGCGCGGTTCGCCATAACCTGTCCGCTGTTCAAGCTACCTGCACGCGCTTGCGCTTGAGGCAGCTCTTCCTATGCCGGTGACCGATGGATGGAACCGATGGAACTGATGCCGTCGCCGTTGGTTGGGTGGACCCAATTGGCCCAGAAGGTCTCTTCCAGAGGTGGCCAGTGACCTTAGGACCCGGAAAACCTGGGGTGGCCTGGGATAGTCGAACAGTCGGGTTCTGACCCACCTCTGTTGGTTCCGGCTTCCGAGGCCCACTGCCATGGGTCAGACTGCCATCCAGGATCGAATCATCCTTGGGGGCAACAAGTGGCCCCGAAGAAATGACCATGTTCCGATAACCAAATAGGTGCATGTTTGTTCCACCACTTCCATGTGACGGCGTGTAGTCATTGCTATAGACACTATTGGTGCTAAGGTCTTCATGTGAGCTAGAATCAGATTGGTCTGCAGCAAGGTGTGCGTAGCAAGGTGTTTACTCCAAATGGTTTGAACATGCATCTGCCAGTGGGTATTCACGTGGCCTCAAAAAAACACAACAAAAAACACTCCATTGGGATCTGCATCTGCCATTGGCCTCAACAAAATCACAACCCAATCACAATATCTCAACACATCATGAGGTTTCTTTTTGGATAGCTTTTGGGTGTGAAAGATCTCCCAAAGCAGAACCGACGTCTCATTCTTTGGTTCCGATTCTCTGCGGCACACCGAGACTCTCAGTGGCTCAGTGTCCCAAATGTTGGGGGACAAACCTGCCACTGGACGTCCCATTTTGTCAAAGCCTATGTGGAAGAAGAACTACTATTCCCCAAAGAATAGAATAGATACCCTAGTCAGGAAAACACCTTTGATATTATGTGTATATATAAATATCATCGATGCTCATCAAGTGTGTTTTGCAATTTTGGCTTGTTCTTGGCCTCCGACCCAAACCACTCCTCAACCATGCTAGAACGTTCCACGCCTGTTGCTCGACGACCGGCAGCCTGCAAAGAAAGAACCGGCAGAGCGGAAGATCAACAGACTCACCAAACATGCACATTGAAGTCTCCAAAAGCCCCACCATTTTTCGGATGCTGGTATAGAAACCAATTTGCTTTAAGTATTAAAACACATGTATATATATTATGTTATATGAACATTGCATGATTCAAATCCTTTTTGTATGCAAAGCGTGGGCCTTTATATAGTCGTTTCTTCATTGTTCTGTCTGGTAGTCGGAATGTGGTTGTTGGTATGGCTTCATTTGGCGTCACGGTGCAATCAATGGTTGACATGATCAATGCAAAGTTGATTCTGGCAGCGTGTGCTTTGGACCGTTTTCTTCCCCGTTTCCACAAGGAGAACCGGAAGCGCGTGCATCCTCCTACTATCTTTGGTATGGGTCCCTTGACCAGAGATGTCTTCTTCCATCTCTCCACTTCTTCACTTCCTCTCAACCTCTGTCGCCACTCCCAATAGATCATTCAAACCCATCCCCAAGAGTGTGAGTCAAGAAACCACAACCAGTCATGACCCACTCACCACTAGCTATGAAGCTTAAAAAATCGCGGTCATGTTTAACTCATATTAACCCACCATCACGTTACCAGTAATGTTGACATAGGATTAAGTAATCTTCTGCTATTAATAGAGCCCAGCTCGAGCCCCCAATACTGATATATTTTAAAACCAGAATTCCACATTGGCATGTCCCTAATAAAACGTGTTCCTTGCCAGGTCAGACCCAGCTGCCCCAGAAAAAGACACATAAATTTCAGTACATATAATATAGATATAGATATATATGTGCTACGTCATTTATTTGGTACTTGGCTCAAATTCACTATCTCATATGTGGAGGCCCTATCTTGTTTAGAGTTTAGACTACTTAAGCAGAAGGTCATGTCACAGTATCACGCTCAGACTACTTTAGTAGCAAATTACACTATCTCGTTCAGACTACTCTAGTCACATCAAACAAAAGTATCTCGTTTATGTGGGGCCCTCTCGTTCACAAGCGAATACTGATGATTAATGATAGACAAGCAAATGGAGCATGCCGTAAGACTACTTTAGTAAAGCCCAAATAGAAGTAAGTGGTTGCTCAGTTGCTCATATACTTATATTCTGTTAAGTTAGGTGAAGTCCATGTCACAAGTGCTGAGGGTAGGAAACCGTTAGGTTAAGCTTCTGTGCAAAAAAAAGTGAAAGGATGCAGCAGGCCCATGTGGCCTGGTAGTTAATGAAGTTTGTGCTTCTTGAGGATGTGGATGACAATGAAGAAAACGCACGACGGGTCGCGTGGGTGCAGTTGCTCACCTCTGTTCAAGCCACTCGGTGATCTTCTTGAGCCATTTCCTCTTTTCGTGTCACCTGCCTTTCTTCCTGGCGAGGGCGTCCCTTCCTGCCTTTTCTCCAACTGATCAGCTCGTCAACGTCACGTGGCTCCAGTGTCCCGATTTTGTCAACAATTTCCAATGACAATTCATCACCAAAATGATCTTCCATCTCCTGAATTTTGGTGGTCATGGTATATGTTGAGTATATAGTCATCCCCTTCTTCGCCAATTGATGACATTACACCGGAAGTGGCTGCTGGCACCAGTGGACGCGGCGCTGGTTCCCCCGTCTGCGTGCCAGAGGTCACGCCTTTCTCCGGTTTGAGTGGTTTCGGCTCAGCTTGCTGCGCCCTTTCGAGTCTCTCAATTCTCTCTGTGAGCATCTTGACAATTCTTTTCACTGCGTCATTGGCATTTTTCAGCCTGGACTTGAAGCTGTCGACCTCGGTTTTGGCCATCGTCACATCGGCATTGGTGTCGCGCAAATGAACACTTAACGACACTTAACGTGTCAGTCGTGATACGGGTGTACAGACGCCTCGATCGTCATCAAACCAGTGGTTTTCAGGGTCCATGTTTGTCTTCAGCGGGGTACATTCCCTAGGCCTCCAGTCGTACCTTCTGAGAATGTATTTGGGGTGGGTGCCAGGAGGGTCCAGTCATACCGTACCTGAGGAGGTACGACTGGAGGAGGTGTAGGGGGATTCAACTTTCCTATCGCCAGCCCTCAGCCCACCCACCTACCGCGCCTCACAGGCGAAGGTGGAACCAACAATTGGTCCTCACGCCCGCGCGGCGGTTATGGCACGATATCTAAGCGTTCAGAAACGGTTTTGATTTGTTGTTGTGTATTCTTTGTTGGCTGGATATACTCAGTGGATCCTCATTCCACTTGGTACTTGGGTGAACTGCCCCGGTTCAACCATTTCAGGTGAAGTTGGGTCACTGATCAAGACATATCAAGACCCTTGTCAGTGAGTGATCCGACCGTTTCTTGGTTGATGTTTCTGGTCGCGAACACTTGTTGCAGTCCCTATCGTGGTTGAATCGAAGAAATGGTCCCGTGGGTGTTATAGTCCTGAAACATATATTGCAGGCCTATCCGCCTATCCTAAACACCCGTAAATAGACTAAGTAGGGAGAAACGTGATCGCAAAGCCCTCAAAAGGATATCACACCGTCTCTACTTAGGGAATCATACGGTCTCGCTGCAACAGAAACAGAACTGAATCAACATCATACGGGTTCATGTTTGTCTTCTCAAGCTGAACGAGGTCAAGAAGGCCGTCAGCTACATCATGAACAAAAACAAACAACATGTTAAAAACAACATACACTTCGGGAATCAGCCACATGAACCCTGTAATTACCACTCCCTTGCATCTCCCACTGACCCCAAAACCGCGACCCCGTTCTGAACCAATCCACGTAACCGGAAGCGCCTCCAGCGTGTCCAGCCTTGAAGTGAAGCGACTGGGCGCACCTTGGAAACGCGGCGGAGGGTGAGGCCTGGACCTGAATTCAAGGCGAGTCCTGTCTGGAGAGGTCTTTTTGGTAGCGTTAGTGGGCTGGGGCGAAACCAGCCAGGTGACCCAGGAATGAAGCTGCTGGGGGTTCAACCGTTTTTTTTCCCAACGCAGTGCGGTCACAATTTTGGGCGTGCAGGCTCACAAAGCCCAGTTGACGAAGCCCATGGCTGAGAAGGGCAAGATGCGTTTCATGGCGTAGAGATGAGTGGAGCCATGCCAGGTCCAGGTTGTTGCTCCCAGTATCCAGACCAAAGCATGTGCACTCCAGTACGGAAGGCTGCCAGGGCTTTCCAAACCTATCATTGCTTTGGCCAAACTAAGACGGCTTGACAAAGAAACCACAAAATCTCAAAGGTATAAGGAAGGCGAACCAAACTGGCCCCAGTGTTACCGTCCTCTAACTATCACATGGCAAACCAAACGCATTCCGTCTTTGAAGGGAGAACCCTTTGGAGCGCCATCCTGTCCATCCTGTTGCCATGCCACTCTGCGGTCGAGGCTTGGGCTGCTCTGGCCCTGAATTGGGCAGGTTCCTTTTGGAATGGATGTCTTTTTTGGAAGGAAGAAACCGCCGGAGGAAGATGGTTTGGGGATCGACAAAGCTATAGTTTTTGTGCAACCTAATTCGTCGAACAATAGATGGACACGTTCTTGCATTTTCAGTGCTTTAGAAGAAGACGACAACAAAAACTGGGATGATCCTGTCGAAACACTTGGAGAGGTCAATGACTTTGATGCCCTGTCCAGTTCCTGGGAACCAAATAAACAGATATATTATGATACATTCCCATGTTCGTTGCCCATACCGACGGGATTCCCTAACAGAAAATGACACGTCACCTGATCAGCAAATCAATCCAGGTCTAGAAAGGTCAAGTTGGATGCCTTCTTTTGATCTCACCAATCACAGCGATCTGACCGGCGAGCGATCTGACCGACTCAACGGTGCAGTGTTTTGGGATTCGGCCGGTTTCGGCCATGGGATTGGTGTGTTTGGGGTTGGTTCGGGGGCACGGAGACACGTCCGGGACGACCCGGATCCAGTCGTACCGTAACAAAGGAAGGTCACAGGTAACAGACTTGGTACTTGGATCCCTAGGAGATAGAACTTCCATGGCAAGAACAAATCCATCTATTCCACCACCATCTATAGGCCATTGAGGTGGTGGAATTTAGGGAAAGAGGGGCTCTATCGCAAGTAGATTGGTGCCTCCCCCTCCTCAAACAGGTGGTAAACATAAACACTAGGACTCCAACTACGAGCTTTGGTGGGGCCAACTCCACCTTCTGAGCTGGTTGGAGTCATTCAGGAGGAAAAGGAGGACCATGATATAGTACAGACTATACTATACTAAGAGCCTGACTGGCCTCTCTTTTGATAGGAAGCTTGACCATATTGTGGATACTTGATCCTCCAAGCTCCAGGGGTCACTGTTTCAGGCTCCAGGTCATTCAATACCCACCCAGGCTCCTGGTTCCTTTCACCCTCACGTTTTGGGTGACGTTTCGGGTGCTTCAGTCTTTCGCCGGGTCACCGGCACCTCGTTTCGAACGAGGCAAACCTGTTTGTTCATCTGTTCGTTCCGAAGCACCGACCGAAGGGTTTCCACAGACTTTGGTCCCGGATCAAATGGTGGATGAGAAGTGGAGATGCCACAGACTTTGAGCTCCACCATCTCTGGTGGGCCCAGACTTTCGCCGCTTCGCCGCTCCGCTTCGCCGCAGCGTTCGCTCCTGCCAGTGGCTCGACAACCGCCTGCAACCCGTGTGCGTTCGTGGAAGGGTTGTTCAGCAGGTGATCCACCCCATGTAGATAGGTCATGCAATCATGACATATGATGACATATGATGACATACAGTGTGGATCCATACATGGATGTATATTGTATCCTACCCATACAGTCACACAGTCATCTACAGTCATACATAAATGGTCTGGGTAGGATACGATCCATATTATGTCAAAGGCCGTGCTGTAGACCGGAATGTGCATCCACCAAGCCTGGCAAATGTCGATTTTGTTTGCCAGGATCTTCCTCGGCCATCACAACCAAACCATGCATGCATGGAATAGCTAGATACATTTGCATACATTTGCTAGACATTTTTAGTCCATGTATGACCCTAATGAAAGTAACTATTGCATACATGGATAGTCTGGGTTATAAGGCAGTGTGAACAGGATGGTCAAACACCAAGAGCTACAACACCTCAAATGAAGCCACGAGGTGGATCTAGCACACCCAGAAGCTGAGTGACCACCGTTTTGAACCCAAGCACGGCCTTTCTAAAACAGGTGTCGCGCCTCCGTCGGACGCCCAGTACTTTCTCACTGTAAACATGACACCCCGCAGGTTCAGTGTTCATCATGCACCAAAGGTTCAGTGAGCAGTGGTTCCTACAGTCCTTGCACCAGGCGGAGGCCGGGTTGGTATCTTTCTTTCTCACACCACCCTTCTGTAAAGTCGGCTTTGAACGCATGTATTAGCACTTGGTGCCCACCCCGTCTTGGGAACCCTTCGAACACCTCCGGTCTGGTCACAGCTGAAACCACTCAGCGGCCTGGACCGAAGCACGCGGTCCAAAGGCGGCGCGTTCCGGCACGTGCTCCGGGGCCTGGCGCGGGCAACACACTGCGGGGAGAGGGACGTTGCTTTTTGGATGGCAAAGACTCACCTGTCAGGGTCTATGACTCATGACCTATAGTCGGTGAGTTTCCATTTCCATACCTATTTCAGAAAACGGTCTGTGACTGACTGGTCTTCGAAAAGCACTTGTTACCAGCCCTAATTAGTCCAGGACCATGCCGGCCATCTCGGATGTCCTGCTGTCGGCTCCAGTTCGACCACTCAAAATGGGATTGCATTCCGAAAAGGAGGTGCCTGGACTGGACATCAAAACACCAACACCGTCCCAAGACCTATAGCCACTGAACAAGTTTACTGGGTATTGCTATTACTGATTGAATTTAACTGCTTTTCAAGAAAGTGCTTGCTTCATGCGATTCATACGGATGACAATATGGCAAGTCCGGGCCCATGGTCGACTGGTCGAAGCGACGTACCGGTCGACTGGTCGACCATCGACGTTTTGAACAGGGTGGGAAGCCGTGCAGGACATTGCATGACAGTCTTATTCAACATGTGAACATAGTAAAAACAAGTACACAAAAACAATCGTACTTGATACTATAAACAATATTGTATATGTCCCTGATTGTATGTGCCAAAAATTACTTGGAAGAGGAAGGAACTTCATTCTTCAAACGTCTTCAAAGCTCTCGAACGGTCTAGACCGGCAAAATGTTCAACAATCGAGCATTGCTCCCGGCCACACACCTGCTGCTCGTAGAAATGTTCCGGCCTAGGCTGGATCCGGCTGGGACAGACTCTGGAAGGGGTCTCAAGACCTCCCAAAACGACCCCAGGGACACCTTTTTGAAGAACAAACCGACTCAAACGTACTCAAAGTACAAACCTAATTATATTGGTTGGGGCCGTTCATCCATCCATTAATGCATACCAAGATCCTCAAAAGGCCGGGAGGTGAACTGGCTGGGTGTAGACTATAGAATACAAGTGCGGCCAGTGGTCGTCAAAAAGTAATCTAAGGGACAAAGGAATAAGTAAGTAAGTCGTCCTCAATTATACTCTATCATATGATACGCTGGCATGCAACACTCCTTGAGCGGCACGTATCCAGCCCCAAAAGTGCAAGCAAGCTCTTGTCAAGCAACAGTTGCAGCCTTTGCAGGCACGCCGTGCCACAGGCCTGCATGCCCTCACCTTTCAGATCCTACTGTAGCAGCTTCACAAAAGAGCAATAGCAAACAACACCATGCCGACCCTACCGTGCGATGCCGGGCAATTCAAGGCTGCTGCGTTGGGCCCCAGCTCTCCAGCTCGACCAACATCGGACGCAGTCTGAATCACCATGTCCCCACTGAGACTTGGTGTTTACTTTTTGGGAGACCACAACATCTAAATCATAGCATAGCTTGCTACAGGCAAAGAGCCCAAGGCGTGTGCAAAGTGCAAAAAACAAACAGAAACCACACCATTTCGGATGGCAGAACGACGGAAAAGGGCGGTCTCGCAACCAAAGCTGATTCATGTGGAAGTGCAGTGGCAAGCGGTCTAAATTAGATGTCATAGTTGTGCTAAGCTGCTGGAGCAATCCTCCTCCCAGGTGGGGATGCCTGGAAAACTCTGGGATTCATTTCCCAGATCCTCTACCACGCCCGTAATCTATAGCTCAAAAGTTCCAAGTCTCACATCATTCTGCAGGGTGTTTCCTTCCAAAACTCCACTGATCCCGTACCCGAAGGGGCCGTGGCTCGCTTGCAACTCCCCGCACTCGCACCGTTCACGGGTCCCACCGACGTCAGTCGCGTCGCTCGTCCAAGTCGCCGCTCGAAGAGCTCGAGCGCCAGCTCTGTTGGCTCGCGCCAAGCAAAGCCTGGCGATTTCCGGTTGGCGCAAGAAGCCCAAACTATGATTCATATGTTATAGTACCGGTAGTACCGGGGTGCCTATAGGGTTGCTCCCGCCCTCAAAACAAAACCAAATGATTTTTGCTTTGGGTACCAATAAATACATGTTTGTGGCATCCAGTCGAGGTGAAACGGCACCTTCGAAGCAAGCGTTTCCCACCAGCAAATTCTAGGCTTCCTGGCCCACCATTGATTTAATGGTCTGAATCCCGAACAGCCATTGTTTTGCTAAGGATTTTACACTACACAACCAGGTCAATTGTTTTATTGGTCGAACGGAAGGTTTTCTGGGGCAATGAAACCACTTCTAGATCGATCTAGATCGACTAATCACGTGCCTCCCTGCTTGGGCAATCTCCAGCTTCACGTGTACATGATAACGATCATAGCTGGGCCATAGGGCCGTGTCTTGGAAGATTGGAGCGCTGTTGATCAGTCAGGGTCCGTTCCGACTCTTTCAGCCCAGCAGCACTCCACCCAGCAGCACGTGGTCGCGAGTGCCACGGATTAGTCGATTTTCTGCCACGGATTTGGGGTCAGGATCGGCGAGACACCCAGAGGCCTCTCCCCGAGAATCATCATGTGTTTTTGGTTTCGAATTTCATGGGCTGGGGAGACGTGACTGGACTGAACCCCTTCAGTTTCTTTGCAACATGTTTTTGATGGTTAGTTCAATCTATTCAATTCCCCCAACATATATTGGGGAAATGAGTCCCCCAAGAAGATTATTCACCTCAACAGGATCAGTTTACGAGGTCCTGCTGTAAATGACCAGCTCACAATTTGCTATTCCTTTTGCAGAAAGTGAGGCCCAGTACAGCGAGGCACTTAGTGAGGGAAGGTTATTGACCGTGGCTTTCAATACATGTTGAAAGGGATGTTATCCCTAGGGATCCAAGTGCCTTCTCAGAAGGTACGACTGGACCCTCCAAACCTACATAACAGTGCCTCCAATCACCAAACCTGCGAAGGTACGACTGGATTTATAGGGTATGTTTCTATCTATTTGGAGGCTCTGTGTCTCCACTTCTTGTGGGTCCACCCAGGCCGCCCTGGCTAAAGCCGGTGGGAGCGCACGAAACAGCGGCCCGTGTCACTCACATGGCTCGAAACGTGTTGAATCGTTGTCGGCGGAAATGATCGGATATGAATCCGTTTCGATCTATATACTATATCTATTAACGAAAAAAGTGTGCCATTTCATCTAGAATTTCATAGGATTTTCCTATAATCAACTCCTTTATAATTACCATGGCTCGGGGCCTGGCCGGGCTGCGTTCGACCCGACCTCTTTCACCGGACTCGAAGGACCAACCACGGTCCGAGCTCTGTCGTTCAAAACACGCGCCACATCACACGAACACGGTGACCTGTTTGGAGATATGACTCACCGCATCTCAAGTCGACTCCTTCTGTCCTCACCAAAAGTCACAGAGGACGCGACTTACACCCAATGTCCAAACGTTTAGGAATTGTTGAATCCCAACACGGGAGTGCATCTGTGCCCAACCCGGGTAAAAAGGCTCAGTTTCCTGGACATTCCAGTCGCACCTTCTCAGAAGGTGAAGAAGGAGACACTGAAAAAAAACACCAAAAAAAAGAAACATTTAAAACAGCAACAACACATCAAACACCTGTAGCTTTGGAGGGTCCAGTCGTACCGACTCTGATAGATCGGGGTTGTCCGTTTGAGTCGTCGACCTGGCGCCAGGCGCCCTCCCTTTCGGTGCCTGGAGGACATGACTCGGCGGCATGGCCTGAAGAGAGAGAGAGAGAGAGAGACGTGTGACGTGAGACGGAAGGCTCTTTACTGCTGAAGTTGGAAGAATAAGACATCAAAAACCATTCTACACCTGTAGGTTGGAAGGCTCAAACTGAATGCAAGTGTTCAGTGTTCAACAAAAAAACATAGTATAAAGTAGTACGATTCAATGATATCTGGGATCAATATTGATCAATCAATTGGAACGACTTGCTTCAAAACCTGAACCAGTCCCTTACATCTCAAAGCGGATTTTTCCTCAATTTCTACTCCTCCCAAAAGCGTCGGATGGTCTCGGTCACATGCCGTTCCGTCGCAGTGTACGTGCGTCTGGTACGTGCTGGTGGATCCTTCGCTAGCCCCACTCCTGGTGGACACCTCAAAACTCTCCAAAATCACTCCCATCTAAGACCCCTCCGATCTGGGGTATTGATTTCCGCTGCCATTGTTGAGCAGTTTGTTGAGGCTGAGGTTTTGTTCTTGATGTTCGTGATTTTTTCATATGGCGTCACAGGGGTATCTGGTGGTTTTGGTGAGGTACTTTGGGCTGCGCTGGCCACCACAAGCAGCAGCTATGTTGGGCTCCTACCTCCAAAAAACTACCTTTGGCTGGCTCACAAAAGGTCTGCTACGTTGGAACCTACCTTCCTGTGAGACACTCAGATCCCATTTGCGCCGCACAAATCATCACGAGCTGCTCATGGAGAGTTCCGCATCTGAGATGTTCGGCTAACAAATGGGATCTGCTCGCATCGACCCCTTTGTGCATTGAGTCTGGTGTTGGTCGGATGTTCTCGGCGATGTGTAGGTCTGCTAGCAAGAGAGTCCAACAAAAGAACGTTTAGTGCTCTTTTTTGTGCAGTGCAGTGCATCGTGCTGGCGACCGTTTGGCCCGCCAAGGCGTCGCGGTGGACCTGCTTCCGGAAAACAGAAGCGAAGTTCGCCTCTGGCTCACCCAATGTTATGGAGCTTTCTCTTTCTTTCTGTGACACTTTCGGGCTCACCCAACTTTTGGTGAGATACTTTATAGTGATAGGAGCACCCGGACAAAGTATGAGTTTTCTCTGTCTTTAGTCTTTCTGCTGCTAGCAAACTTTCCAGAAGTTCTCCTTGTGTCATTGATTCCCGAGGAAGGGTCAGTCAGAGTCCGTGTATCAACTCCAATGCAGCTGCTCGTGTGCGACGAAAGTAGGGTGGCGGAGGGTGGCTGACCCTGCCTCACTATAGATACCTTAGGATCTGAGGCCACCCTCATTCCTGTTGAAAGTAAACACCCATGGTATCTATAGTGAGGGATTCTTTATTATATGTGCTTCCAGATTCTCTGCTAAGCTCCAGTCAGCTCTGTAAAGAGGGTCCACACGTTCCACATTCCCCAAACAACAAAAAACTGAATCGTTGCGAGATTGACATTGAAACCACCTCTATGGTCACCATGGAGTTGGCTGCCAATCCCAACAAACATTGTAGGTGTGAGTTGAAGCTTTCACATTCCACAGTTGCTGGAGGTACACCGGTGGTGCTTTTTTTGGCTGTTGTGTAGATAAATGATGTTAAATGTATATAGTAAAAAGAACACTTAACAACTTGGGTCGGGCACGCAGCGTGGGAGAGCAAGCTGCCCTGGGAACCTCCGAAAGGAACAATCCCTGAACCAATCATGGAAATGGATGGCACCACCTGTTTGGTATTGGGAATCTGGTGATCCAAGGGGTCGTTTTCAATTTCCGTGATTGTTGGAGGGAATGTAATTCACCATCTTCAAAAAACAGCGCCCACCTTCGGCAATCGTGACGAGGGAGCCTGCTGTGGAAGCCGTGACAGTCTTTTCCGCAAGAAGAAACCTGGATCCATCGCCCTAGCCAAGGGAATGCCTCCAGCAGGGCCTTAAGGCTATGATGGGGCTTCATGACCAAGAAAAACGGAACCCTGTAATCTGGTTTTTGCAAGACTTGATCAAATCCTTGATGTATAAGACCTAAACCGAGTGTTTTTTGGTTTAATGTGACTTCTTATGCCCCCAAGCCGCACATGTTGGCCAACATGTTTGCTGGTCAAATTCCTCATCAGCGAGCACCTGGGCGACGAAGGAACTGGATCCCAAAGCGGTTAAACAAAACGTCGCTCTGCAAGGCCTCCAGAGTTACACCCGCTGTGACTTGGAAATTTCAGCAACATCCCTTTGAACCATCCACCAATGGATCTTTGGAGCGGCTGCTTCCACCCAGGATCACGAGGTTTTGTTCGGCCATGTTTGTCCCATTCGGCCATCTGCACCCTGGACAATCAAACCATGGAAGCATCGGTCGATCCATCGCTACTCACCGGACCCCGACGGGCACTGTTCCCCCCCACGGGCGCGCCATGGGCATCCGGCTCGGCAGCGCGGCGAGAGGCCTCCTGGGCCTGCGCATGCCGTTTCGATTCGCTTTCTTTCCGTTTCATTGGCAGGAACAGGTGACATGTTTCAATCGCCTGTTTCACGTTAGGCTTTTGATGGTGAAAGTATGGTTTTGCTACTTTCAGACATTCGAGGCTTGTTTGGACCACATTTACATTCTGAATAGAGCTTCCCATCCTCCCCAAAACACTGCCGCTGGCAAAAAGGAGCAGTCGCTGCAGTGGTTACTCCATTCTGGTGACGAGAATAGGAAGTAGCGTGTAGACCTAACCGACAACTATCAACCTTTGCCCAATGCAATAGCAGATGTCATGAGTGTCTCAATCAGTATCCAGAATCCGGACCATTTGGAACTAGTGTTGCGTGCTGATCCTCATTGAAACAAATCTGTGAACCTAAGGAATCGGATGGACATGACATATTAAACATCGAAATCCCTGCGATGAATTCCGCCATTTTTGCAGGGACAGAATCATGTATGCCTTTCACACCTTCCTCCCAAGCAGGTCCTGGCTCACTGAAGTCAAGACGGAAAAGCTCAGTGTGCCGCCGTCAGATGTTCGGTCCCCCCAAAGGCCCTTCATGAGCCAAACATATAATTACACTCTCACTCCTGCTTGGTATGCAGAACATCGTCTTCCAGAAGGCCATGCCATCCACTTCCACGTGAAACACCCAAAGTCAACAAAACCGTGAAACAACGTGAAACAAAAAAACAACGTGAAACATCCAAAAAAACACACGTCTAAGACGTGGCCAGGTTCAACCAAACAAACACACAAACCAAGCAAGAACCACGCAGAAAAAAACACCCAACAACACGCATCCATCACGCCTTGGGCTGAACCGGCCGGCGCACGGCCGGTTCGCGCACCGCCGGTTCGCGAGCGAATGGCCCCACCGCGTCACGCCTTGGTGCGAAAGGAGACCTTCCGCAGAGCGCTCCGCTCGGGCAGAAGCCGCGCCAACGCGGCCGCCTCGGTGGTGGTCCGCTCCGCTGCCCCGAACGGAACGGAAGGGAGGCCCAGAAGGTGGTAGAGGAGTGGAAGCCTGACGGCCATTTTGAGGTGCCAAGGGGTGGCAAAAACAACAACCAAAGCGGTAAGAAGAAGCACAAACAAATACACTTGGATGATATATAAGTATAGTATACATAGTCCCCTGACAATCTGCTGAGTGGACCAAGGACCAGTCATCACACAATTCAGCGGGTCAACGCTGCGAGTATTGAGCAAAGCCTCATATTGGACACATGATCCTCTTGGATCCTCATGGAAAATCAAAACAACTCCTGTAAGGAGGGCATTGACGATCAAACATCGTGAGAATCTAGCGTTGGATTCCGATGAAGTGAGGGTATAGTGGCCCATCGGATGGTTCTCCAATGATAGTCCAGCAAAGTTTCACAGCCCTCCGACACTGTGCAGAATTCAACGCTGTCAGCACAGAAGCAATCAACGCATCCATATTATATTTACCCTGACCCACCAGTTCGAACGATCCAAGTTGGATGACATTTGCAAGCCTTCACTTATGAAGGGCAATAAGTCAAAACGCACTTCAAAAATTGTAGTTCAATCACCCTACACCTCCAAGTCCCTCCTCAGAAAACATTTGGACCCTCCTGGCACCCACCCCGGTCCCACCGAACCGAAACGAAGGTACGACCGGAGACCAAACGGGTCATACACTGTGAATGTTCCAACCGTGAAGCTTCATGGTTTGAAGGAACACGCCGAAACACCGACGCCAGCCTTGCCAAGCCGAAACACCCGACGCCCGAGCCGCCTCCTCGTGCAACGCTGGAATCATTTCCCGAATCATCGAGGCCTCACAGATCGACGAGGATCATGACGGGACCGGTGTCCGACAGTGCGCTGGTGTTGTCCTCGTCAGTGTCTGGTGATGTGTCAGGATGAAGGCGCCCATTCACCACAAGAAGACATGAAAGCATGCTACTGGAGTTGGCCACGCACCCCCGGAATGGCCCCCGAACTCCGCGACCTGAACCGTCGAGGGAGAGGAGAGGTGCGAGTGTGAGTGAGAGTGAGCATCCGTTTGTGGGAATTGTCTCACTTGCGCAGGCAAAAGCTACCTCACTTGCGCACGCGTGACTCACTTGCACATGCAGCGACCCACCTTGCACACAGGCATGTTGCTGCAGAGGAATGGCCCCTTTCTTCTCTACATTTTACCCTCTAGGTCTGCGCCGTTGGAATGACACCTTCCTCCTCGAAATTTTACCGTCAGGGGGCTCACAAAAAGGCATGCAATTTTGCCTTGGCAGCGCTTTTAAAATCTCGCTGATCTAAGCACCCAAAGTCTTTTGTGACAAAACTGTTGTGAGATGGCCGAAGTCTCATGTGGCCCTTAGCATCCGCCATTATGGGGTTGCGGTGGATAAAGGTCTATGTGTTACGTTGTTGTTATGCAGATTTCCTGGTGATCAGCGTTATGTGAACCAGGTGAGACTTTGGGAAGCACGGAGCGCTGATCTTAACATTTAGGTCTTGTGTCAAAGAACCAAAGAAACACAAGCAGGAAAGCAAGGAAGCTGTGAGATACAGCAGGAAAAAGCAACCAAGCAAGAAATAATGCACAAAAAACAGCAAAAGCGGCAGTTTTGGGCTCACAAACATAAGCAACAAGATGGATTGATAATACATTATTGATTTTTCGACGCACGTGCCCAAAGGACCTATGTAGCACCAGAAGGACAGGGGACCAGCCAAGGGACCGGGGCACCATTCGACCAAGGGACCAGGGGACCAGCAGACGGGATGAGGGGACAAACATTTTTAATTGATGCGTATTAGTCTTGTTATTTCTTTGATGCGCATCATTTGTTATTGATCGATATAGGGATGTAAGGGCCGCCGCTAAGATTTCCATTGTCCTGCTGGAGTTGGACGTGTGGGCCGCGTGTCCGTGCAACAAGAGGCATGTGCCACTCATCCGAGGACGGTTCATCTTGCTGAAATCCTTCCCCTGCATCACGCTCGAGCGCGGAAAGCAATATTTCTGTTGGTCCATGCTGTCCAGAATACCGCAAAACTTCCAGCCTGTAGTGCTAGCATATATGTATAGACGGCATTCACTGCGCAGGTTCCAGTACACCTGCCTGTCACGATGTTGCCTGGCCAAGTGTGCCATGAGCAGTGCACGTTGTGCACGTTTGGCTGGTGGACAGCCTCCAAGCCGCTTCAACAACAATTTGTGCCGTATGCACTGACCACACTTCGTGTGGTGGGAGAAGAACCTGATCCGCAACTTGTGTTCGAACTCCTCCATCCAGACCTTGCTAAGAGCAGAGGCCCCCAAAGGCGATCCGCAACTTGTGTTCGAACGCCTCCATTCAGACCTTGCTAAGAGCAGAGGCCCCCAAGAAAAAAAATGAAACAAAACAAACAAAAAAATGTTGACCTGATCGCAAACATCAAGGGACAGAGCTGAAGACTTTGCGGCCAATGCCCTCTCCAGGGCTCTCCAAAACGCACATGCTGCCAAATGGCAGGTGCTTGATGGCATCGCGAGGTAAGTCGGCCCTGTCGAATTTTTACAATCCCTGCCGCGGTCTCTTGTTCGAATTGCAGCCGTCTGGCAAGTGTTCTGCCTGCTCCATGTACAGGCGAGTCAAGAAGGTGTGGACAACTTCACGCTTCTTGGACATGGGCCTCTTGCCCTTTGCTGAAAACCTGAGGTCATACGGTGCAAACTCCTCACCTGCCTGGGCAGACTTGCGAAGGGCAGCAAATCTGCATTTCCCGATGCCAATCATTTTCATGAAGGCATCATTGCAAACGCTATATGATTCAAAAATACGTCAAGTGCACCTTTCCACGCTGTGATGAGTCAGCCCGTTTCATCAACTGGAACACACGTTGGTCTTCTTCCAGCTTTGTCGTCTTAAGCAAAGTCCGTCGCTCCTGAAGCCAATGCTCAAACAGGAAAATGCTCCGCTGAAATGGAGTGAAGCAGGAAAGTCCCTTACATTTGCATCAATGCGCCGAAGGATGACTGGACTCCCTCCCTCCCTCCCTCCCTCCCCTCATCTCAGATTCTTGAGCATTGTACCATGATAGAGCATTATAGAACACTATACAACATCCGTGGTTCCACTTTGCTCCCAAAAAGGTTCAGAACTTACATTTTTTGTTCAAAAACCTGAAGTTCCAAACCGTCAGCGCAAAACGCATGTGGAGCTGCAAAAGTGATATGGTCACTGATGGTCATCGGAAGTTATTGGAGAACATGAAGTGGGTCCATGAAGAGGAGTTTTTAATTAGGTACCACTACGGCCGCAATCAGGTACTATTGGACGCACCGAATTACGACCATAATGGTACCTAATTAAAAGCGACCCTTCAAAATTATCCTGTAGACCCCGCACGTATCTCACTTACAGACCCCACATGGAATGACACGGCAAAAGGGCCGCATTGTCTAATCTTGCGATCAAACACCCGCTTTTAGACAATGACCCTTGGATTCCCAGGGTGCAGGTGTAAAATGACAAACTTGACATCATCTATGACCCCTTTCCATGATACGTACGTAGAGCAAAAGCTTCAGTTTGTTTAAGTCTGTTTCAAAAAACTGTCCCCAACCTCTCCTCTCGGGTGGTCTGATACTGGTCTGAAACCCTTTAGAAGTCCCATCGGAGCCTTCAACTTTGAGCCTCCCTGCCTCCCTCCCTCCCCTCATCTTAGATTCTTGCGCATTATACCATGATAGAACATTATACAACATCCGGCGATACGGGTCGAAGAAGTCAAAGACCATGCGCAAAGCGATGCGGTTGAGCGATTTAGAGCTCGAGGGACGGCTGAGAGCGAATAAGAAACCTTATTTAGAGTCTACCTGCTAGCCACATTTCTTAATTAAAAGGTTATAGCTAAGAAATATTCTAGAGTCTACTCTAAAAAAGCGTCTTTCTTAACAGAGTCATCAGCCGTACCAAACAGTTTCTTCTTGCGGCCAAAACGGGTCGACGAGCAGCTCGCACACATGTCTGCAGGCCGGCCTGGCTGCTTTGCATCTTGTCGGCCAGAGTGTACCTGCAGTTGGATGTGCTGGGAGATGAAGCGTCGAGCTGTTGAGTGCACCCTGCAAATTGACCTGCTGCTTCTAGCCAGGCTCCAAACCCTTCTCTCTCATTCACACACCCGAATAACCTCCGAGCAGTCCCATTGGCTTGGTCTAAGCCTGGAAGGAAAAGAACCTCCACCCAGCAGTTCCTGGATACGGGAACTGCTGAAGTGAGCTCCTTTCTGTTCTTCGTTTTCATGTCAGTTTCGAGAAAACATGGACACCCATCACCTCACCGGTCCCCAACCCATCAGCCGGGCTAGCGTCATCAGCTTCGCCGAATTCGGGTGGTGAAGCGAACGAGCCCAGCGACACGAACGAGGCAAGAGCACGTTCCGAAGGAAGGACATGATACCCTTGGTACCCTTGGAACCCTTGGGAACCCTTGGTACACGTGATTTGCAACTTAGGAACCCTTTCTCACCTGACAAAATAAAGACATATTGGGCCAAAAGCAAGGAACATGTGGCGACCTGCTTTTGACAAAGCCATGGAACAACCACTCGTTAAGCAAAGAGTTCTGTTTGGATATCAATTAACAATGTCAAATGAGTTGGTTGAAATGAGGTGCTGAAGACAAATCTATAATGCACAGATATGCATAGTATGCTACGCTGGTCAAACGTGCAAGACAATGCAACCTTGGAGGATTGCACACCAGGTGTTCCAGGAAACCACATGGGTCAATGATTGCACCAAGAACCAGGACCTTCAAAGTGACCTTTTGAGGTCTGGAATGAGATCACTTAGTCACTTAAGAGCTCCAAAAAGGTTACTTTGAAGGTCCTGTGATGAAACGAACCACCGGCAGCCGAACCCCTTTCTCTGCTTTCCCAGCTCATTTACTCTTCAGGGGCACTCCAATTCAATGGCGACGCAATGCTTGGCTTGAATCAGCACCTCAGCACTGGGATGAGCATCACAATAATGCAATCATATGCAATCTTACTAGTGATACATGATTTTCCCCGCATTGAAGGGCTGGACAGCCCAGAACATGTGCTTTTCATGTATCCTCCTGATGCTACTTGATGGACTTGATGTGTTCGCTTTTGAAGGTCCAAATGTCAATCCTCTACGGTGGAGGTTGACCATGTCGTCGATTTTGTCGGCTCCAAACCCCTGAAGTCATACTTGCTGACCCGTCCTCATGTCCGGAAAACTCCAGTTTATCTCTAATGGCCCCTACTGGTATGCAGTACCTGTTGGTTGAATCATTTTGATTGCAACCACCGTCCATACTGCAAGGATATGAACTTGTCGCTGACTGTAGCTGCTTTTAGCCAGATCAGGCCAAGCAAGGGAGTTTTTGATGAAGTTGAAGCGTCACACAGGACAGCAACATTAAAGTTACCTTGGAAGCACCACCCTCAACTTGCAGTGCCGTTGCAGCGCTTTGCCACCGCACTCCCCGCCCGCCCGAACATGTCCAAGGCGCCACCAGGGCACGCTGCGCCAAGGGCGTTTGAAGGTCCTGGTGACCGAAACCACACGATCCCGGAAGCTGTTCAGCCTCGACGCGGAGGCGGCTCTTCAGCCTCGCCTCGGGTTTGGTGGGGAGCCGCGACGGCTGAATTCAAACAGGTTAAACAGAGGTAAACTATGGGTTGGGTCTATCCTACTTTCAGTTACAGTGGAGGATGATCTTTATAGTAAAGGCAAACGGGACTGTTGTTGTTTTAGTTCGTGTAGTCAGTGTAGTGTAGTCATGTGTAGTCATTGCACACGCGTGCCAACAAAAACAATTAAACAAAGGCACAAAAGCATTGTGAAACAGTAGATTCTGGCATTACTTGTCTTTACAATAAACACATTTGTCAATGCTTTTCATTCCAATGATTTGTGGGATTCTCCAGGCAATTAACATGCCGTCTCATGGTGGACTAGTAAATAGGTTCAGTATGTTTTAGTTGGGCAGGAGTAGCAGCAGTAGCATCCTCTAATTAGACCATGATGTCAAGGAAAGCGGGCATATTGATTTGTAAAAATTATCCGGAAGGGGATTCGCCCTTCCAAATTCCAAATCAACAAAAAACAACAATCACCCTAAGCACAAACAAGTCGTAACACTGCACCTTTGGTTGAGGCCGATGATCAAACATATTTCAACCAGTTCTGACTTCCCAAGCAATGGGAAAAAGGTGGAAGTGAGTGTGCCATTTGGACCTTTATTGCTTTGCAACTGTCCTTCTTTCTTGGTCAGCAACTCAGGAAAACGGTGGGCTTCTCGCAGCAACAAGCATCACCTGTAGCTAGTTAGTTATATACGAACCCTACAGGTCAATGACCTCATTTTACTGGAGTTGGTAATACAAACACACCACTCAAGCAAGCAAACGACCTGGTTTTACTGGGTCGTTGGACTTGTAGGGTAATACAATGTAAGTGATTCTCCAAGTGATGCCGGTGTGAACAAACATGACTTTTTTTTGTGGTCACTGTTTCCCCGTTTACATCACCACACCTCGCTCTTGTCTTGCAAGATACCTCAGGAACGACAGGAGAACCGCAACGGCAGCGAACATGGAGAACGGTCGACCATTCTTCGGCAAGTGGCCATTCAACCTTTACAGCCGATCCATCAGTTTTGGCTGTGCAAGGGTTTCTATATCTGACGGTTCTTCAAGTTCAGTTTACCTTTCGTGACGGGTCGCGAGCAGAGCTTCCTAGCTTCTAAGTAGGGCAGGCCAAGTGGCACTGCAACCATGTCGCAGTCGAACGAACTGCATAGCATAAAAAGTAATTGCATGGAATGGAGGCAAAACACAAGTGCATGTGAGTTGGACTGAGCAATACATCCAAATATTGAAATTCTACCAAAGTCTTTGGGATCCTGCGGGGGTTGCAAAACGGAGCTGACAAATGCTCGCATGCGGCTGACGTTCTACGACCACCACGTTACAATGCTGAGAGCACCCTGGGCTTGCCACAAAGTTAGTAGTTGTTGCTGAATTGGTTTTGATTCTGTACACAACCCTTGCGTTTGCCCTACTAGACAAGAGACAGCCAGAACACAAGAAGAGCTCCGTATTGCTACCCTCTCAACATCACAGACACACTCACACACAAACAAAGAATAATATAATACATCACTGATGATGCTACACCCTCCCAGTGCGTCCAAGGCAGGGAGGAAACCACAAACCGAGGAGCTCCACACTTCCTCAGCTTCCCTGATGGCTTTTAACGCCTCTCGGTCGCACCAGGCGCTGGTTGTAGGTTGGTGCAATGTGTATGCTTGGCAAGCGTGGTTGTTTGCTGCCTATACAAACGTTGCTTTGCAATCCAGACCAGTCACTGGCTCGATGGGATGGCCATGATCATTTTGAAACAAACACAAGCCGACCGAAGCTGTCAAGTGTTCTTGAAACGCCAACACCAAGTGCCTTCCTGGAGGTAACAAGCCCGGCATGGACCGGCCTACCATTGTTCTGACGCCGACCGAAGACCTAGTCATAAGCGGATTCCAGTTCAATCAACTCGTGCAACAGTCCGGTCCTGTTGCTTTACAAAAATAATGAATTCTTGTTACATGGGCAGCACGGCAAACAGCCAGACCTACCCTGGAGAAAAAGACACACATTGTTATAGCACACCCTCAAACACATGAATATTGCCCAGCCACGCCATGAGAACACATAATGCCTGCACATGCCTTTGTTGTTCATGTTTTTTGTGAATGAATGTCGGCCATACTTGCTTACATGGAGCAATTGGCTTGGACTTGGAGTGGCAACTCCAGAAATCAGGACCTCTCCCTCTGCCACTTTTCAGGGCCGGGGACGCACATTTCACCGTCCGGACCGTGCCCATGCGGCGCACCCGGGCAAGGGCGCCCTACTCATAGGCTTAACTGGAGATCTGCCCAGCAAGAGTGGTTAAGTGACCGTAAATAGGAAGTCATAACCATGGGGTACCTATGGGATAGTCGAACTAGGGTCCTTCAACCTCTGTTGGCACATAATGATACTTGTATAGGTATGCCTATGGAGTCGAATTGTTCAGCCAGAGTTGGTCAAGTGCTTAATGTAATGCTATATATTTATATATATTAAACCTGGAGAACACCACCGGACCAGCGTTCTGCGAGTTCTGTGGGTCGTTCTTCACCGAACCTCCAACATCATCTCTTACCCTACAGGTCAACAAGCTTTATTTTATTGGAGTTGTATCTTTTAGGACCAGGTTTGGACCTGGTTCAGACTGGACCTGTAGTGTTAAATTCATCTTCAAACCTGCCGCTTCCTCCAAGTAGAGCATGCTCTGACACCTTCCCGCAACCTTTCCCTTGCCAAAACGAACATCCATCGCCTCCGACCTTCATCAGGACGTCCCAGCCTCCTCCAGTGCCTCGGCGTGTTGCTTCGCTTTGGAACTCAACGCGCAAAGCTGCACTGCCACCATGGCCCGTGCCACACGTCCTCGTGCGTTGCGGAAGAGAGATCGGTCCCACGGAGGGCGAACGTGAGTCGCGTTCGCGAGGGCAAACGCAATGGACGTTTAAACCAGTTGTTTCTTTTTCAGTGGCCAAAATACATAATATGTTATAACAATATGTTATATAAAATTAATATGTAAGAATATGTAAGAATCGTATTTTTTATGTGGTATGCGTGCCAATGACGGATTCACCGATTAGCTTGACACCAATGCTGCGGCAATGCTGTCTGTGTCAGGTGTGGCTGCCTACCAAAAACGGTTGGCCATTCAAGATCGTTCAATAGGTGCCTACCAAATTCGTGTAGTGGTATATATAGATTGTTTCTTTAACGCACATGGTCTCCCCCATCAAGGTCAACACGTTTGCAGCTCCAACAGAAACCGCCGATCCCACCGACCTCTCCGGCCCGTCCTGCCAGGAGCCCCGCATCCGCTCGCTTGGTGCAAATGGAATAGGCGCGCCGGAGGCAGTTGGAGGCCACCCTGCGAGTAGCGGGTGAGGCCCATCGACCCGCGGAGTCGCGACCCGCGGGTAGATGCAAGAACCGAGAACAAAAACAGTTTTCAGGTCGATGTTTGGAGTGAGAGCTGCGGAAATCTAGCACCATGTAAAACATGGCTAGTGCAAAGGTCGCTCCGAGTTTTGGTTCCCTGTTTCATGGGATATCGCCTTTTGGATACCCCCGGTGAGGCTCATCGCTCCCTCCTGAGCACAGTATATAGTGATAAAGTACGTGCTTTCATGTGTTTTCCACTTGGCCTTTGCCTCCGCCATCGGTGCTCACTCTACGCAACCGCGCGGCCCGTTCCCACCGGGGCTGCGACGCACGTGCGACGAAACGAGCCCCCCAATGGTGGCCTCAAATTCCTCCGCTGGCCTGCCAGGGAGGCCTCATCGTGTGGAGTCATCGTGTTTGGGACGGAGATGGACGGAGGGAGAGGTGGAGATGCGTAGAGAGGAGGGACACTGATTTGAACACCCTGAAAAAAACAGTTTGGGCAAAAACAGGTGCTAACTTTCTCTTCCCATGCGCTGCTGGCACGTTTGGATGATGACAAAAGTGAGGAAGCCGAGTCGGGAAGCATGGGAAAACCACTGGAGCATGCAGAGTTTGGAAGCCAGTGCGAGTCAGCAAGGTGACTGACTTGGGAGAACCGGGCCACGTACCTGTCTCCGGACTCAGGCAGAGACACTAGTACTGGCCACTGTCACAAAAGAATGGGGCGGTCACTAATTTTCATTTTCATTTCAGGTCACGCGAAGTGTCTGTATTGGACTCGGCGTCTAGCATAGTGAATTCTTAATTACAGAAGATGTCAGGGCGGGGTGCGTCCAAGGCCTGGTCCTCAAAAGATTGGACCAGGTCCTTGACCCAAAGTGTGCACACTTCCAGCCCTCTTCTTCGGGTTGGTTGATTCTTCAGCCAACCTTCAAAAAGTCGTGCTCCAAGTTTACAAAACAAAGGCGGATATTCTTTTAGGTGGCTGGTTTTCCAGCCATCCTGACCGCGGCCAATGTTTGTGCCTTGTGCACATTGAGGTAGTCTAAGACTCTGTTCACAGGCAACTGCATCATTCAACTTGATGCCTGACAACATCAGAGAAGTTGGCTTAGGGCTATGGGCACCGAAAAACCCCTGAAGGACGTGTAGCCAAATGAACAGATGGGTTTGTTTTAGCCAGCTCATGATCGATGTATTCCAGATTGAAGGTGCTGCCATGTGCCTCGTCCGTTGGCGGTGTGGGTCCTCCGGGTATTCCGTCCAACTGAACCCTCCAGTCAAGGATTGCATGGTAGCAGCCTGCAGTGTGAAGAGCATCAATCGATTGCCGACATCGAGCTGTGCGTGCTCTCGATTGCTAACATCAAGAAGTCCCCATGCACATTCCGCGGTACGCAGAGGGCGTGGGGGTTTTCGACCACCATCAGGTACTTCAACCCATCGCGCAATGCTCCAAGTTTCGCAATTAAGGCGGACCCCCAAAGCCAGCAATATGCCCATCTGCAATCATGGCCAGCCAACGCTTCTGTTGGGCTCGATCTGACAGATTGCAGCCTTTTGGGTCAATTGCAACGTCCACTGACACAACGGAGAGAATGACGCCGTCAGGTAATGTCAATGCCTCCAACTGAGTCTGTAGGTCGCCAGCCCTACGCCTCCCACTAAAAAGGTGCAACACAAGCAATTCCGTAGCTAGAAATGCTCGCCCGGGACCCTCAAATGGCTGGCACTTCATGTCTCTTCTATCTGCTTCTGAGTTCAAAATATCAGATGACGAGATGTTGTACATTTGTTCGCCTTGTTGGCAGAGATGCTCCATCCAATCAAGAACTTTCAGACCTGCTTGTACAATTCTGTCATCCCCTTCAATGGTGAGGTTCTCCAACCATTCTTGAAAGGTGCTTGCCAGAATCTGAAAAGGAATGGCTCTCCTACAGATGTTCTGCAAATGGCATGCAAGGTCTGGAACGAACGACTCATCATCCTCAGGCTGAGTAAAGTCACATAAAGGTTGATGAAGGTCTCTCATGAGATCACTCTTATCTCGACCTTCGGCAGTTGGAGGTGGAACTGGTGCCGCCTCCGTGTGTACCCACGGAAATTGCGGGTGATTAGAGATTGGCTGTTCCTCCTCTGGCAATTCCGATTGCTCGCAAAACAATTGTCGACAAGCTCCGCTGTATCGGAGATGGTGCCTTAGTCTCTCAGTGGTCTTGTACCTTTTCGCACAACAGAAGCAGGTGGTGCCTTGGGCAGCTGCACTGGACTCACTGACAAAACTATGACAGGCATTAGCGTGTAAAAACCAGCCCTGTGGCGCAGTGAAGGTTCTCTCACATATCAAGCAGGGGTAAACACCTTGAGTGGAAACACATCCTGCTCTCTGCAGCATATCGGCAATATCTCTATGTGACTTAGTACTGATTGCATTGCGGATTCGCAAATTCTTGTATCTCATTAGTGCTCGGTTGGCATACCTTGCCCAATGGGTGGGCGATTGTGCTAGCAGGAGCCACTCAGACCCACTGCTTACATCTTTCACACAAGAGTCTCGACCTAGCGCTCTGAAGGCCCAAGTCAACGATTCTTTGTAAGAGGTCATACAATCTGGTACTTCGAAAAGCATGGACCATACCAAATCCGGTGCGGAACGAATCACTCCTCCTAGGTGTCGAAATCTGCAAACATGCAGAATATCTTCAGGGTCATCGCACTGTAATAGGCAGCGAATGTCATTCCGTGCCGGCTTTGGTTCGCCTCCCTTGATGGGACACATAAGCTCATACAGTTGCCAAACTGTTGAACATATGCATGATGTTCCTTCAAGGAAAGGCCTGTCCAGGTTCCAATACCCCAGTTCATGATTGACAGCACGGTCGAAGAAAAGATGCGATACCGAATTTCAACTGTCAATATTCGATTTCGAAAGACCCGTTTAGCTGCTCTCCAGAAGGCAGCCTTTGCTTTGGTGAATCTGGCTCGAATTTCTGGCAAGAAGCTGCATCCAACATCAACTATACCACCAAGGTGCTTGTAGTTAGCAACCAGAGGCAGCCGCACCACCGAATCCTCCAGCAGAACGGGACATGTGGCCTTAGTAGTATCGAAGATCTCTCGCTTGAACTGGACTGCCTTCGGTCCTCTTGGCGAAACTAGAATGGCTGTCTTGGCTTCTCCAACAGAGATTTCCATACCATACTTTTTGAGCGTCTGCACTATGGGCCACAAAGGCTAGTTGCCGTGAAATGCTTGCTACGGATGGGAATTCCATCATAAGTGCAAGATCATCGGCCCAGGTCACCTGAAAAGCAGGTAAACGATCTTCAGTATCAGAGGGATGCAATGGGTCTCGATTTTGTTTTTGCGGCAATTCAATCATCATGTTGTGCTCCTGCAAAATTGCATTAACTTCATCAAGTACTCGCGCAAAGACAAGGTTAAAGACAATGTCTGCTAGTGAATCGCCTGGTCTTGTGCCCCGTCTAGTCTGCACAAACTCTCGGCCTGAGAACGTGAAGAACGTTCCCTCCAGCGTTTCCTGCAGAACAGTTTGTTGGACTGGACCTGCACCCAGACACTAATAAGCACTCTGCTCATGAAACGACCGGTGAATGAGCTCCATTGATTCAGGTCCTAATCCCATTCGATGGATAACGAGTGCTAAGTCCTCATCTTTGCATTGGGCACCTGTGGCAACCTGTCTGAGGACTCTATAGTAAGCTGACTGCACATCACAGAAGAGAATGGCAGTGCTGCGTCGAAGACAGTTGCCTCGAGCCAGAAAGAGTCGAGACATTTGCAGCGTGGCAGGCCGTGGACAAGAGCGCTAATCTCCTCGGGGAGATGAGGCTCCTCGAACCGTGCCAAAGAGCACCTGCTGTGCTGGCTTCCCTCCGAGCTGAAGGTCATCTGTTCGTTGCACATATGGCTCGTTGAGCTTGGTGCGTAGCGAAGACCAGTACTGACGCGAGGAGAATGCCCCTAACTTTCTCTTCCCATGCGCTGCTGGCACGTTTGGATGATGACAAAAGTGAGGAAGCCGAGTCGTGAAGCATCGGGGAGCATGCAGAGTTTGGAAGCCAGTGCGAGTCAGGAAGGTGACTGACTTGGGAGAACCGGTCAGGAAGGTGACTGACTTGGGAGAACCGGGCCACGTACCTGTCTCCGGACTGCAGAGACACTAGTACTGGCTGTCACAAAAGAATGGGGCGGTCACGAAGTGAAAACAAAAATAACCAAACTCTACCACTACCCTCCTGTCGGTGTCCTGGCTGGACTACCCCACACCACCTATAGGCTTCCAGACAGGGCACCTATACCTGAAATTTTCCAAACCCTTTAGAAGTGAAGCCCCTTTGACGAAGCCAAAAGAAGCCCCAAAGAAGTGACGCCGTGACGCTGACAGACCGAACGAAGTGCTGTGCGCTTCCGCACAAGACCCTGAAGCAATGACACCCTAAAGCAAGCCCAAAGAGACCCGAAGCCGCGGCCCCAAACACCAACAAAAAAACAAACGAACTAAAAAACCAACCAAAAAACATTAAATAATTCAAATCCCTAACTTATGCCAACGAACCCTAAACCAAGTCAAGCCAAAAGAAACGCCAACTATTGAAGAAACGCCAAGTTGGCGAATTCCATGCGCAGGATAGAGCGCCTCTTGGCGGTCATGGATGACGAGTAGTCCCTTTCATGGCTGTTGGGGACAGCCGGCGCTGAAATCAGTTCGCAGGTGAAAGAGCAGGTCACAGGATTGTGTGTGACTTTTGAGTAAACCCTCGGCCTTTCAGCAGGCAGTCGTTCACATGCATAGTCTATGGTTTTTGGCCGGGCCGGGCCTCCGTGCTTTTGCGCACAACGGGAGAGTGATTTCACCTCCTGGACCTAAAGAAGCACAGCGAAGCCGAAGTGAAGTTCCACACGAATGCCAAGGAAACCCTGAAGCAATGACACCTAAGCCCTGCGCCCTGCGAAACTCTAAAGAAGTGGTAGTCCCAAGCCCCGCCCAAAGACACCTCAAAGAAGGGAAGCCCAAGACCAAAGCCCAAGCAAAAAAACTCTAAACACGTGAAGACCTAAGCCAAGCCTAAGCAAACCGTAAAGAAGTCAAGCCCTAAAGCAAGCACTAAGAAACCCTAAAGAAACAGAAAACCCTTAAACAATAAAGCCATAAACCAAGCCAAACAAAGAAACACTAAAGAAGTGAAGCCCTAAACAAACCCAAAGGAACCTAAAGGAGGGAAGCCCCAAACCAAGCCCAAACAAACCTACAAGAGTGACGTCCCAAACCAAGCCCAAAGTGAAGGCCCAAACCAAGCCAAAAGAAACCAAGAAAAAAGGGAAGCCCTAAAGCAAGCCAAAACAAACCCTGAATATGCCTGTCCTTCAATAATCTACATAAGTCCGGAAAAATACACCCAGGAAAGTGTAAAAATAGTTAGAGGAGGAGGAGGACGAGGAGATGACTTTTTGTCGTAGATCAAAGGACATCCCTGTACTTTTGTGATGAGAAAAGCTGCGAAGAGGGCAAAGAAGGAGAAGAAAGACATGGATGTCCTTTGATCTACGACAAAAAGTCATCTCCTCCCCTAACTATTTTTACACTTTCTCCTTATTATATCCGCCGACCCCACACCGTGGGGTGAGGCGTGACTGTCGATGTTAGCCCTATCCTTAAGCCTAAGCCTTAGCCTTAGACCATAGCCTTAGACTTAGACCATACCTCCCCTACCAGTCCGGACCCTTGTTGCAGTGACGAAAGTGCGACGTGATTGTGCCCTGGATTGTCTAAGATTCTGCCATCCCAATTGATTTACATCTTGGGGCACCCTCTCTACCCGCGCGGGAAAATAAGCACGGTCCAAAATGGTCCCGGGCTCGAATCCTGGGCTGGTCGCGGCGTGGACCCGGCCAATGCCCTTGCTTTTTCCTAGATTTTGTCACGTTTTCTGTGGGATTTGTGGAATTTTCGAAGGCTTTTCCAGCATTTTCCTGGGAATGCTCTAGGCTTTTCCTAGATTTTGTTTCGTTTTCGGCTAGCATTTCCTCTTGCTTTTAGGTTCCCAGATTTCCCCCAAAAATTGTTAACCTTTTGCTAACCTATTTTATGCCAGTGTCCGGGCTGGTCGCGGCGTGGTCCCGGCCAATGCCCTTGCTTTTTCCTAGATTTTGTCACGTTTTCTGTTGGATTTGTGGGATTTTCGAAGGCGTTTCCAGCATTTTCCTAGGAATGCTTTAGGCTTTTCCTAGATGTTGTAACGTTTTCTGTTGGATTTGTGGGATTTTCAAAGGCTTTTCCAGCATTTTCCTAGGAATGCTCTAGGCTTTGTCTAGATTTTGTTACGTTTTCGGCTGGATGCTTCTCCAAGAATTTTCCAGCACTTCCTTAAAAAATTGTTAAACTTTTGCTAACCTATTTTATGCCAGTGTCCGGGCTGGTCGCGGCGTGGTCCCGGCCAATGCCTTTGCTTTTTCCTAGATCTTGTCACGTTTTCTGTTGGATTTGTGAGATATTGAAAGGCTTTTCCGGCATTTTCCTAGGAATGCTCTAGGGGAGGTAAGGTCTAAGTCTAAGGCTAAGGCTAACTCTAACGCTAAGGCTGGGCTAAGGCTAAGGCTTAAGGCTAAGGCTAACATCGACAGTCACGCCTCACCTGAGGCTAGAGTTACGCTCCAGGCTACCGCTAGGGCCTGGGACGACCCTTCCACTAGCTTTTCCCCTTGGGGGTCGGCGGCTGCAGGCGGTAGCCTGGTAAATTTCGACAGGTTTCCAGGTTTCCTGACTCTGACAAAAAGGTTTCCCTGACTCTGACCAAGAGGTTTTCCGACTCTGTCTTCTCCCAAAGCCAAGCCGAAGCCTAAGCAAACCCTAAAGAAGTCAAGCCCGGCAGAGCAAGCCCACCGACCCCCCTAAAGAACTGAAGCAAATCTGGTGCAGGGCGAGGGCCTCTAGCTGCAGGTGTCCCAGCTGCTGGTGTTCCAGGGAACATCCAAACCGGAAACTTGCAGGGAACATCCACCAGCAAATTATGCCCAGACACTCCATGGGACTGCCATAGGACTGCCGATCAGGCCAGGGGTGGTGCCAGGGGGGTCAATGGAGCGGCAGTCCTATGGCAGTCCCAAACAGGTCGTCGTGTCTGGGATGGGTGTCCTGTAGATGTTCCGTGAACGAAGTGGGAAGGTGTGGAAGACTGTCCACATGCACTGTCCACAGTGGTGCATGGCAAACAAACAGATTCTACAAAACCGAGATCTGGAACCAGTCACAGGACTGAAGCCCAAACACTCCATGGGACTGGCATATTTACATACATTGGGGTGGTTGAAGTCGGGGTCAATGGGGCGGCATATATACCAGTCCCATTAGTCGTGTCTGGGAAGTCCTACAAGGTTCTGGAACCAGAAATCAGAAAGACTCGTCAAATCATGCCACAAACCGGACTGGCGTAGCTGCCGATCACTGGCGTAGCTGGTTGAAAAGCGGTGCATGCCAGGCCCTTAGCTGTTAAGGGGTGTCTATTTAGACGCCCCTTAGACACTGTGATTCAGGGTGTCCATGTCTACCACCCCTTGGGGTCCTGGTGTAGGTACATTCCAATCCCCTTCGTGTCTGGGGTTTTTCCTCTTTCAGTTCTCCAAACCTCTGCTGGGACGGGGGGGTTCTGCTGGGGACGGAGATCGTCCGGAGATCGACCGGACTTGTTGAATAAAGGACACATCAAACAGAAGTGACCTCCGGGTTCATGAACCTGATCCCTACCCAAGACCGTCCATGGTGTCGGTCCCATGGGTCTCATATGGGCCATACCATAGGTCAGTGATGAGTGAGGGAGGGAGGGAGTGAGTGAATGACCTCATGCAAAACTATAGAGTTCGTCGGATTTGGTCATACAAAAACTACTTCAGGAGGTAACACGTACGACGGTGGATTGGAAGTCACAAAGGGCTCGTGGTAAGAAAATAGATTATTCAAATGTGTTCTCAAAGGGACTCCCGAACAAATTCCTTTAAATTCATGTCCTTCTTGTTTTCTTTCCAAATTTCCTCCAAACTCCGGGACTCCTGGACCAGACTTTCTGTAATTCCGAGGTTCTCCGTGAAAAGACGAGTCACCCTTCAGTTCTTTGAAACTCACTGTGACACTTCTTCATGCGTTACCCTCTACGCCAATACTGCAAAGTTACTTCAGGAGGTCACAAAAGGGCCACCCTCCAGTCCAGTGTGACACATCTTCATGCGCGACCGACCTGAAGATCGTCCAACGTCCTCGTCCTCCCAGCACGACCCAGCGAGCTCCCCGCTGTCTGAAGTAGCTTCTCGACCATGGAGAACAGCGTCTCCTGTCGATTTCACATATGTTCGACCTGGACGTAGCCGCTGTGACTCCCTCTGCAGGGCGAGGCCGCCCTTGGTTCGCCCAGCCCGCAGGGCGCGTGAGACCGTGATCATGGCCGCTGCATTTCCAAACGGAGTGGCCGCTGCATGACGTAGATGGGTCCACCATTCTCTTTGGAAAACAACACTTCCTGAAGTTCAGAGTTTCAAGAAGACCATGGAACATTCCAGTATCAAAGTTTGACTTCTTGAAGAAAGGACACCCTGCAATTTGCTTTGCAGAATATCAACATAATGGCGCCATTGTTCGATGTGTCTTAGGCAAAGCGGGCTGCCACACTGCCTGCTAAATGGTTCAATTGGAGGTGAACATGTCCCAAGAATGAACAGGTTCAAGGACAACCAGCACCATGAGAGCTTCAGCAAAATTAATTCCAAGGTTGACATCAACAGCCAACATGTTCTTCCACGAAGGGGGCGACACATGGCTACTCTTCGAATGTTTGCTGAAATATCACTCCGCACCATAGCGAGATGATGAGGACAGGATCTCCTCCAGGGTTCCCACAGGATTTGTGAGATACTTGCCGGCCATTTCTGGCAGACTGCATCACACAATATCACATAACTTCAGGTATCCACACGAAGAAGAAAGAAGTAAATAACACAAACAACCACAGTTGGGGCAGCTTCCCTACTTTTAAGCAATCATCTGGACGTCCAATTGAGCGCCAGCCCTCCATGATTTGCTATCAATAGCCATGTTGACTTTGACTGAGTGCTCCAGCGGAAACAGCACACGAATCATACACTTTTTGGAATGTCTTGTGAATTCATCAGAACCTGTTCAACCCTTGATGCATAAAACCATTAAAACATAGAAACACCACAAAATGGATTGTGAAATATTGTAAAGCCTCTACATAAGGGGGGTGGAAGTATAAACATAAACTATAACTAACCTTCTACATCCTTCTACATGTCAGTCTTCTTATTAGTTATCCCAACTCCAAACTAAATCGTCGCTCCAGTTCGAGCGGGTGTCCTCGGCTGGCAGGCTACCTCAGGTCCCATTCTCCGCCGCGACGAGGCTGAAAGAACCAACTGAGGTTCTTACGTGACGGTCCGTCAATAGGACTCGGACCATTTGGGGGTAGCCCTTCGGGATAGTCAAACAGTCGGTTTCTGACCCACCTCTGTTGGACAAATCCAGAGTCCACTTTTGGAGTCAGGGCTCCCTTTTTGAGAAGGTGCTTTGGAGCACCTTGGAGCCCCATAGGGACATCTAGGGACATGCCAGGTATTTCTGATTCTGGCGGTAGATGTGCTGTCCAAGAACTGGGAAAACATCACACATATCATACGGTCTGATTGCCCTGGTGGACCACCAAAGCTACACAGAACAGTTACACCAGGGCGAGTTAGCACAACCAACGCAGCGTTGTTAGCCTCTGCAACTGCCCTCTATAGCTCGTGCATGCTGCTCGTTTCTCGTGCTGCCGGTCTGAGCGCCTTGCGCCTTGCGCTCGTCTGCCAACTCCAGCGCTTCAACTCGCCAGTGCGGGACTCAAGACGATTTCACATGAGCCGGTGCTTCACACCGGTGCTCAACGTCGCTGAACCAGGAAAACGGGTGACAACACCCTTGTCCCCTGAAATGGTGAGATGGGGCTTCTTGCTTGCCGTGAATGTGATATACTCTTCAACCACGGCATCACATATGTCTCACTCTTCTTTACCTTGTCGTACGCTTCCTTTTCCTCTGCTGCTAGATGGTGTCACTCGGCAACTCACTCCAGGCTTTCAGGAAGAGTTGCTGCACCTCTTGCTGAATGAACCTACTCGAGCCCTCCCCAAGGTCACCAGCCTGGCGCTCCTCCTGGCCTCGCGCGCCTGTTGGAGGCACCCGCCCTGAGAACCTCCTGGTGAGGAACGCCGCAGGCTCAGCTTTCTCGAGTTCCACACGCCTGGTGCTGAAAGCGGCCATATAGGTTCTCCTGTTCTGTAGGACGCCTCGTTATAGGGATCTCTCGGGTTCGCGCACATCGCACCAAACAACGGCTGCCGTGCTGAAGAGGAAATCGACGAAGGCCACGCCATACCTCGTGAGACTACACCACTTCAGCGCACTTGGTGGCCGGCTTCTACCTGTTGCACTTGCAAGTTAGAAAACATACACTTGTAGCACTTCAAGAATTTACAAGTAGCTGTACTTAACATCACCTAACAAGATCATTAAGGTTGTTATATGTTCTTACTAGAATAGTTCAAAAAATCTGTCAATTTGACTCACCTGTAACTATCTGTTTAAGTTATGTACGTTCCTGAGTGACTAAAAGCGAGGGCTTAAGTGAGCTATTAAACATGCATGTCAGCAGTGTGTTTTTTTTTGTGCAACTATGCATGAGGCGGCGATGAGTGAGCCAAACCCCCAAGAAGAAGCAAGACCAAAACCTCCAACATGTTCCTTTACTTGCTTTCTTCAAGGGCTTCCATGATTTTCCAAGAAGCCTGTTGTTTGAGACTCACCACTAGTGGATTCTAAGGAAGCATGCCATCTATTGGTAACATGTTGTATACGCTTGTTGTCACTATAGCTCCACCTGGTAGTTCTGCATTAAATAGTGCATTGAGACGCACCAAGTGAATCAATGCCGCCACAAAGAAACACACTAGCAAGTGGTTTCCACATATGTCCACATATCATGCAATTAGACATGCACGAAAAAGTGAAACCAATCAACAACAAAAGCAACATACACATGTATAGATCTTGGGCAATTCCCTGTAACAGTACTAGTGGATGATGATGGCTAGTAAAGGCCTTTCTCTGAAATAGTGATAATTGTTTACCGACTGTTACAAGCAAATGGACACCCCTGAAATAAAACAACAAAATCAACAAAGCATATATAGATATGTATGAGTCAACAACAACAGAATGTATACATGTATAGCAATGTATTAAACTGTAGAGCACTCCAAACCTCCAGCACAAAAAATGTCAATGCTTTGTGTTGTCACTGAGAAACCTTAAACATATCATATAATTCTGTGATTAAGGGATTCACCATGAAACCTACGCCAAAAACCTACGCATAAAAATTGGAGGAAATGCGGCCACCAATTGGCAACTCAATTCTGCCAGATGGCACAATTTTGCAAGGCCACCAAGACATAGAAAGCTCAAGTGGTGGTGGATTCGTATACGAGAGATGGCGCAGAATGAACTGTGCTTTCAAAACAATGACACGTCTTCAGATTTAACAATCAAAGTGCAAAACAATGGCACACTGTGCTGTATATGTTTAAGCAAAATATTGACATGTTACTTATTACTTCTCCAACAAGTGAAGTTCAATAATTAACGCAGATATACCTCATTTAGACTATTTCTTGATGAATTAGCCATGGAACTCAATACATCATTCACTTTTGACAACTAACTTTGCAACCCCCACACTTAGTGAGGTAAAACCGTAGCTTAATTAGATCGCATGCAACCCCTCCATAACTGTGTTGCCAACAACTTATCCCACTTGGACGCTTTGTTCTTGGCCCACGGATCATGAGTCATAAGAGCTGATGCAAATGAATGCAATATGCATATCTTGTAGTTGCTGGAACCAGGAAAAAATGACCAGATCTTCCTTATTCACCCAGTTCCGGAACATAGTCACATCGCCCATCATCGCCCGATCCACCAAGCCAAGATGTGATGGGATCGTCCAGTTTTTGCTGAGCTGGTGGAACATCCGACGACCAAAATCCGAAAACAGGGTGTTGTCCACTGATCAAAAGTTTCTGGCATCTGATGAGGTCTGAAGTTCTATAACTTGGAACCCTGAACAAACCAAGTCATCACATGGTACTTCTATATTTACCCAACCCATACACTCCATGGGACTGGAACATATGCCACCCGAATTGATCCCCCTGGCACCACCCCTGGCCTGATCGGCAGTCCTATGGCAGTCTTATGGGTCGACGGCAAGTCATGCGTCTCTACTCATCCAACCAAGGCACCTCCGCTTGGTGGATCATAAGTCACAAGAGCTGATGATCCGTGATTCAAATGGATGCAATATGCATATCTTCTTGTTTTGTCTCTACCATCCCCCCAACAGTCCCTCCCTTTGGCCGTCACCGAAGGCTTCTCGCACCCGACCCCCTCCCCCGGTATAGGCGCCCCGGCGGCCCTCCATCGCGCGCTTGGTCGGCGCGACCGGAGGCTTCACCAGGTGCGACTGGGCCCGGTGCTTTGGCCACGTAACATGGCCCTTCCTTCCGGGCTGGGATGGGGGAACATGTAGCTGCTATCTGCTCCTTTGAACGTGCTACAGTAGCTGCTAGCTTTGGTGTGTGACAGTATCATGTGACCAAGGATGTGTGAGGTAAGTGAGTGGAGGGTCGTCGGTCATACTCTTCTCTTCTCGTCCGCCATACGCTTCAGGACCGGGACCATGTGGCGCTGTTGGCGCATGAAACATGAAGATGGTCATGAAGGTCATCATGTCTTCTGTGATTGTTTTTTTCGCCTCTACTGCACAGAACCAGAAAACACTGCCTGCCATTGGAACTTGCGCCGTCACCCATCGAACGGGGGTTCCGAAAACTCAACGTCGGAAGCTTCGTCCGAAGACCAGGGAAGTTGAGGGCTTTGGCAGCAAATACTGGTTGATGTACATATGCCAAACTCTTTCCATCCTGGTTGCATGGACTTCTGGTGGAAAGAGTGGATACATGAACTACTTCCAAAACAACAGTGGATATCAGTGGATCGAGGTAAAGAACTTTGCATGTCGGACTTACCTTCACCGGAATTGGTGGCTCAACCCCAAAACAGCGCCATGTTGCTCAAACCAACATCAAACACCATCCAGTCGCAAGTGGAAGGGAGAACATGGAAGGAACACATACATGGAAGGAACTCCCTAACATGAAACTGGAAAATGGCCCCTGCGAAGACTGCGAAGATCTACATGTTTCG